CTGTCTATAATTATGGCAGATCAAGACTCTAGACGACTCAAACGATTGCGAACTTCAAGAACGAAGGACGCCATGTTCAAGTCGCCCTCAGAAGAGGCAGACGGGAGGGCAGTAACACCGAAATCAATCATATCTGGTGTTGATAGATTCATTTGGGCAGGAGGAGCGGGCTTGGGATCTCCAAATGTTGTTGAGGATCTTTTGGACTTTATTTGTTGTACGAGATCAAACGCAAATAAAGGTGGAGATCGAGACGAAATAGGCCGTTTCAAGCCAGAAAAAAGAGAATCTGAAGGCAACGAAGTAGGTGAGCTAATTTTCTCGAAGGATGCAATGATGAAGCTTTTATCGAGATGGATGGATGAAGTGTTATACAATTTCTTACAAAAAGTGAATGTTCCAAATTAGGTAAAAAATTGGTTAGGAGAAAGAAAGGTGCTCACTTAGCTCAGTTGGTTAGAGCGTGGTGCTAATAACGCCGAGGTCACAAGTTCGACCCTTGTAGTGAGCATTTTTTGCACGCACAAATAGTGTATGTAGCATTGTCTCTTTTTAAACGGGTCTGTTATTTAGATTCCTTCTGTCATCGTGACAATATCAAGTTGGTAAGACAAATTATATATCAGTTAGAAGATAAGATTTATGCATTTTGACATTGAATATTTTATCAATAATAATACTGTATATCAGCTTTTTAAATGTAATAAAAAAAAATCAGGAAGGATATTTAGATCTCGGTTCTACTGTCACTTTAGCAGAAGTTATGAGCAAATATGTGATATTTATGATAAATCTGATTTTTCAAGAGACAAATATAAACAAGAAAAGATACATCTTGAATCTTTGAAATTCACTTAAAATAATTAGTGAGTAATTATAATATGGTTGTATTAGTTTAATTTTTGTAGCATATAGAATAAAGTAATGATTTGATCTGAACGTATAATAAGGAATATGATATATGAGGAGTGAATTCAAGTGAGATAGAATAAATTAAAATTTGTATACTTGATCTTCCGTCTTAGATACAGCTCTAGGTTTTTGAAAACCTAATTCATTAGAAGCAGTTGTCAACATTTTTATCATTGGCAAAGGTCCACATAATAGTAACTTGACATCCTTTGCGGGTTTTGGGCAATATTTTGCGATCATTTCTTTTGAAACTAAACCCACATCCCCATTCCAATCCTCAGATGGTGGCCTTTCAAGTACATAATGCACTTCGAAATTCTCTGGAGAAGCTTTAGCAATTTCATCCAGTTCCTTTTTTAACAGTATGTCATCTTCTGTTATATTAGCGAAAATAAGGCTGATTTTTGTCTTATCAGTGGGATCATTGCAAACACGTCGAATGATTTGAAGCATAGGTGTGATACCAGTACCGCCTGCGATCATCCCAATTTCTCTGCACATGTTGCTTTTGTATACAAAATTTCCTTTAGGTCCTCTCATTCCAACTGAATCTCCAACTTTTAATTCACCCATTAACTTCGAAATGTTACCTGTGGGGTAAGACTGGAGAGAGATGTCAAATTGAAAATTAAATGAGAATAATATGCAGAATACTCTACCTTAATAACTAGATCAAAGTGTCCTCTATCTTCTTCGGGTGTGATAGGTGTATAACTTCTAGAGATCCGTTTACCGTTTATTTCAGCCATAATGGCAACATGTGAGCCAACTGGTAAGTCTAATATATCATCAGGTCTTGGTAGTTCGAAACGATACCTGCAATAATAAATCATATCAGAAAGTTTAGGTCAAGTCAATAGCTGTCAAAAATTTCTTTCCTTTACTTTGAGGTATTGTGAGATATTGGGATTTTTTCAATAAGCCTAAAACCCTTGAACACTTTCGGGTTCAATATTTCCTCTACAAAAATGAAATTGAATTCGTTAATTTCTTAGTTTTTCTCTCTTCGCTAATTTCTTGGTTACTTTTTGCATTAAAATAAATATAAGTTGCAAATATTGCAATTAAAGCAAGAGCAGCAGGTAAGAGTTCCTGAAAAGTTGGCATACTTTGGTTGAGAAGTGAAATGAAAAGTAAAAAAAAAGGCTTTGTGTCTAATCTGTGAGAATCTACAAAATTAGACGAAAGGAAAAAAAAAATCATATGTTTCTTTTAAATGAAATTGTTTCGCGCTGTTTGAGTTTTTTTGTTATATGCATCTTTGATTTTTTTTTTTTCGTCGTATATCACTTTTTTGCCAACAGCACATTACAAATGTAGGAGAGCAAGAGAATAAATAATGTTGTGTTATATTGATCAGTATAAAGTGTAATAGCGTTGAAACTCGGTTGCTTCTAGTGTAATTTTTATCGCGAGAAACTATATATCGAACGTTATTGTGAACTGATCAAATGGGTTGTTCATGATATATTATCACTATACCGAATGCAGCGCTGTTCATATTTTGTATAATGTTGCACTGTGTCATCGGCTTAAACCCTCTTTTTCTATTTTTTTTTTTTTTTTTTTTTTTTGCTCAAAAGTGTTGGTTTTGATATGACAAATGCTATTTAGTGAGCTTGCCGATTTTTTAAGAATTGATATAATCTTATGAAGAGATCAGACGTTACCCATAGCAAAACAAGATGTCAATGTCAGATTCAACTTTTCTTGGATTTATTCATAATATTCTAAAATGACACATGCCAATTAGAAAATATATACTGTAGTTAATTGCTTGGTGCTGCCGTCTTTTGCTTCACACAAGTAAGTGATATTGGCATAGGTATTGAGTCTAACTTTACATTCATCCGTATCCAATATTTTGTATTTGGCAGAAGCTTTCACAGCCAAGATTAGCCTGTCGCTATGGCAACCAATTGGCTATGGCAACCAATCGACAGCCTGTAAACAGAACCATCATTGAGTCTAGATGTTGCACAAAGGGATACTTTTGAACCGAAAACAATGTAACGTCCACCGGTCACGACAAGTGAAAAAATTTTCACATTGCACTTCGGTATTTAAGTCAAATTGATCCTTTGGAAAGCCTTTTTCTTCTTTATAGCAACAGAGAAGATCCGCACTTGACGTTAATTAATTATACATACGGGAATGTTCTATCATTCGATACGATTTTTACGTTAGGGAAGGTCTCCAGACTATAGTGGCCCTTTTTTTTGAAGGGCTATACCTGTAATGGGTATAAAATATGCGTTGCCTTCGGTTAACGTGCCTTCTCTATCTTTTGACCAAAACAAAGGTTGAGTTTCGAAAGCTCTAGAGATGGCTATTTTACTGGTCATAGTTATAGTTATTGCGGATACTGTTTCTTTCGTTTCGGAAGAATAGTTAACAGAATGGAGACTACTCTCTCAAGTTGCTATATTTTTTTTTAAATCAATGAAAATGAAAAAGGTGAAAGCTTTGTTTATTAAAAGATGAAGGAAGGGGGCTCGTTTGTAGTTTAAATTAATTTTACACGTTAATATAATAAAAGGGAATATTGGAATAGTTAAAACACTATAAGGTTTTTAATCAACATCCACATCTGTTGATTCATCTACATTTTTAATTGTTACTTTGGTTTGTCCTAATAATGCTGCCAATCTATCCCTTGAAAGAACAAACGGTGTCCATGTAAGTTTCTCTGGATTTACGCGAGCATAGTTTTTTTTGTTCAAATTGGCGAGATGATTTTGAATCATTTGGGAATCCACAGTGATAGAGTACTCACCCTTGACTTTATCTTGTTGAATCAAATTATTATTCTGTAGCGTCGATACAATATCGTCTGGTGTTAAGCTTGTTGTACTGCTAAGATCTTTAAAATGACAATAAGTACGATGCTAACTCTACTTTTACGTGTATATGCTTACCATCTATGCTAATATAACCCTCCTTGTTTTCTAATGCGCGAAACAAGATATTCTTCCAATAGCTTCTATAACTAAGTAACCCAAGATCAGATAACGGTCTCTCGGGGGTGCCAGTTTTGTTTTCCTTCCTTGACAAAAGATAACTGAAATCAATCAAGAACTGGCCGTACCCTTTTCTTTGGAAAATAGGCATTGTCAATATACAAGATACATTATAGTTCATTGAAGATCGCTTCTCTTTGGAAAAATAGCCTACGAAATGACATCCTCTTTCGTCTGATTCTGTCATGATATAAAACAAGAATGGCTCAACATCGTAATATAATGTCTTGTGATCAAGAAACATTTTGGCCATCAGACACAAGTTTTGGCAATAGATCTTATTTTTCCTTCCATCCACTTCAAATATTGATATTTTGCCGTCTCGGTAAATTTCATCGCCTGGTGGATGTCTCACTTTACATTTCAGTTGGTGTCTATCTGCAACATAACTACTCTTCATGTACTTCATACAGAATTCGCAAATATATAGTGTCGAGTTTTGACTGTATTCTTCTGGATAGGGCGCCACATACCATGTGTCAATTAAAAAGTCATTGAATGAGATTTTCCGAATCTTTGGAACGTCCAATACTGGCTCCCATTTACGATCTCTTTGTGCTGATTGTGCTAAATGAGATACAGTTACGACTGATGTAGATTTCTAGTTGAGAGCCTGTCAGTAAACAAATATACAAAAAGGAAAACCTTCAATAAGCTACCTCTGCTCTTGTTTTTGCTCTTTCAAATGTCCCAATATCAGATTCACTTGGTGTGCCGCGTGTTGTGTCAGCCTCGGCTTTGGTTAGCTTATTGCCAAATGTTTTGTAAAACAACTCCTCTTCCTCAAGATCTTTATAACTAGCTCTTGGTCGGCCTCTTTTTCGTTTGACTGGCGGTGTGGATGGGTCTTTAACACTTAGACGTAATTTGAAAGGTTCGGTTGACAATCGATTGTTATTTTCGTCCTGTGGTTGATTGCGACTGGAAGCTTTCCTTTTTATGAGTCTTCGTCTTGGCGTGTCTTTTGTCATTGTTGTTTTAGGTAAAGAGATACTCTCGATGAATTTAGCAGAATGTGTAGGTGATTGCCTTAGTCTGTAAGATGTGTTTGATTGATGGTTGGGCTGGTTGTTATCAGATAAGGGTGTTAAAGGTTGATTATAACCAATAATTGGAGAGGGTAAAGAGGTAGGAGGAGAAGGCATGCTTGAGCACTGTTTACAATACCAATCGTCTAAATATAATCAGAAAGAGAAACCCCAAGAGTAAGTACCATGTTTCACTGAATAACGTGTCAGATCAAAATCGTAAGAAACAAAATTACCTTTGGGTATATTCCTCAAAGGTGGGTCGCAGCAGAAAGTATGATACCCTCTATCACAATGATTGCAAATAACAATTTTACCCTACAAATGAAAAAAAAAAGAGAAAGGTAATATATCAATACAAAGAAAAAGTTTTTCCATAATTGTCATACTTCGTCATTTTTGGACTGACAAACTAGGCAACTTTTGCAGTCGTTGCATTGCCAATCATATGTCTTAACGATTTCGGCTGAAGTGCTATTCATTTCACAACATACGAGCTTTTATACACCCCCCCGAACTACGGTGAAAATAATCGACCTTCGCTTCGCTAC